CATGCATAGACATATATATACATATGTACATACATATAGATATAGATATAGATATAGATATAGATACTACATGACGCGTCGTGGCATCTAGTGCGCGGGTTCCAGCACTTCTCGTGTTTAATTCGTTTTCACTGCATTCATCGTCCACAGTGGTCTTCGAACATTTCGCTTATAGTTTCGATTGCTGCTTCAGAATTTCATCTGCTTTATGATTGTCGTAGAATGCTGTCGAATCAATTGTCCTCCCAATTATCCTTTCCGGGGAGTAACGCGTTCACCACCACACCATGCGGGTCCTTTGTTTCGCACGTCTCTCAGCTATTTCTATCGATCTTTTTGCCACAGCAATCACCCGTCAGCGGGGTTGATCTGGGGAGCGCAAATCGGCATAGAACCCAGTTAAGCTATGGCTGCAGTTGAAATCACAATGTTTAACGTTTTGTTTTCTGCCTTCTATGATTTTCATGGCAGGTTACTAAGTGAAATACAACCACAACGTTGCTGAGATATTTGCAAAACTCTGGACCGCAGGTGAAACTTGTATATACTCAGCAATGCATACTGACATAACACAAGCATTTTGAAGAAAAATTATCCGATCTGCGCTAATTAAGTATTCTATCGGCTTAGCGCTCACAATGCAGCATTTTTCGTAGGAGAAACATAACGCGTTCTCCAGTTCTGTGGCGCAAAATTACCTAAATCACCACCTGCGGTCCGGAGTTCTGCAAATAACTCAGCAACGTTGTGGTTGTATTTCACTTAGTAACCTGCCATGAAAATTATAGAAGGCAGAAAACAAAACGTTAAACATTGTAATTTCTTCTCCTAATCTTAGAGATAGACGAGGTAAGGCGTTCCCACGTGGACTGGAGGTGAGCGTTAGGGAGGAGGAGGTATATATATATATATATATATATATATATATGCCTGTATTCATACTTATTTACAATATATGTTAATCATACATAAGAATTTTCGAATGAAAAAACACTGAAAAAATTAATGTTATACTACTCACATAAGTCGATATTCAAAAAATCTGGCGAAATTATACAGTACGGAAGAAACAAAGATGCATATAACGGCAAGACGAGACTTCCTTGGAGTGCACCATACCCGTACCTATAATTCCGTCCGATAAGTTTCAGGAACGACAACCCAGGAATGTTTATATTACCGAAAGAGGACAGTTACAAGATCGCGCTCCAATCAGAGAACGTATCACAAATTTCACTAGGTAATGTTAATATTGAACTTACAGAGAAAGCAATTTCTACCGAATCAAGTGGAAGTTATTTTCAAAAGGCCACCGGAACCTTGTCTATGAGTAGTTCATCGTGTAGACTGCATGGAGGTTAACGTTATAGACGCATAGAGACTCTGCTTCTCTGGGCTCTCTCTCGCTTGCAAGTGAAGCTCAGAAACGATTCGAGCAAAATTCTCCGCGACTTTAGAAAAAGAAATACTGGATGGATAACTCCATTTTAAAAATTGTTGTCTATGGACCACTTTTTTAAAGATGTCTCCGAGGACTTTCTGGAAACTCTGCGAACATAGAGATTTTACAATGCTTACTGTTTATTTTCTACCTACTACAATTTATACGGCAGAGTATTATGCGAAGTTCAACCACAAGATGATGAGACATTACTATTACACACCATGAGGGTCCTTCGTTTCGCCTGTCTCTCAGCTAGTTCAATCTATCTGCCTACAGAGATTTTATTTTTTACATATTTAATCTTACTGCATTAATGTCACGACGTTTCTGAAAGCCGCGCAATTACCCCAGTTGTCGTTTTCTTGTCCAGCAATCGCGAGGTTTTTAAACAGCATACATTTACTTCCATAAAGAAGACACAATACAATACAACACTGGCTGACGTTTTGGCAGTATCGCCTTCTTCAGAGCCTGGAGGGGTATACTGATATACAATCTACTAGGCCAAATGCTTCAATGACACTTACAAAAAGACGAAAAGCTCTATGGTAATTACATGATCAACAGCTTCTCGAAAGACTCACCGCTTTTTTTTCGTGACTTCCAATAAGGAAGTTTAGAACAGCTGATTATAGTCGCATATGGTTGACGACTGCACCATCCCACATCAAAAATCGATGCGAACGTACGGGATGAGGTCGCGTAGAACCTCCGGGCATTCGTCCCTACTATTCATTGCAGGGTTTTTGGCATTTATCCAAAAAGCCTCAAGGAGTTTTCGCGCTGGTGTTTTGGACTCCTGTGCAAGGATATTGACTTTTACTTCAAAATCGTCTCCGCTATGTTTTTGTATCCTATGCGTGCCTAGTGGGGAGCTTCGTCTTAGTTTTCGTTTGCCATCTAGGTGTTCTTTTATACGGATGCACAAAGGTCTGCCCGTTTCTCCAATATACTCATCTCCGCAATTATTACAAGAGATTAGGTATAACGTACTTGAACTCATGCAAGCACTGTCCCTGCCGTAAGGACAAATTACGCAATTTGTTGTTTCACACAGACTGTCATACAGGCGGTTGGGAACTAATTGGTGCCGTAGAGTAGCCGGTGGTATTTCAACTATCGCTACCGATTCCTCTAAACCTGCCCTTCTTAAGCATCGTTTAATAGCTACGCTTACTTTATCACTAATAAAAGGTAACATAAACGGGACTTTCTTCTGGCCAAGTGTTTCGCTTGGGCGCGTCGCTCTCCTTCTAAATTTATCACGTGGGGTTACTATTTCGAAGCCATTGGAGATGGCTATTTGCCGAGCCAAGTCGGGCGACTCTTCCTTTAATTCCCTGGTAGTTCGAAACATGTTTCTCACAATCGCCCTCTTTGTGTGTGAAGTATGGGAAGAAAGGAAATGAACGAGGATGTTCTTGTTACTTGGCTTTCGGTACCACTTTGTCAGGTAACCGCTACTTAATAGGTTTATTTGAGCGTTCAACAACGGAAGCCAGTTTTTTCTCGGTTTCTCTAGGGTGAACTTTATGTACTCAGACTGTTCGTTCAATAATTCAAAGCATTTGTCCATCTCCTCTTGCGTAGGGAAGACCACAAAACAATCATCTACATATCTGCAGTCGAGTAGTGGCCCGAGGTCGAGAACAGGGGCTACTATCTCAGACATAAACCCAATGGCAAGGCTTGGTGTCAGTCGCTGTCCCATTGCCAACGCCCTTATCTGCGCGAAATATTTCCCAGACCGTCTGAGAATCGAACAGTTTAGGCACTCCTTTAAGAGAGCCATTAGCTGCTGGATGGACAGGCCATGCATATATATTCTTCCTTCATGTTCAACAAGAAGTTCGAAGGTGGCTTGCATTGCGGAGTCATTCGACACCTTGGTGTACAGCGCGGTAACGTCGAAAGACTCCATCAGGTACGCGTTATTAGGAGACACGTTACGTAGACGTTCTAGGAACATTTGGGTGTTTGTGAGATGAGCTGGAATGTGGTTAAGCAACTGGGTAAGCATCAGGCTTAAGACCAGGTTATTCTATCCGTTGGCCCGTCTACACAGCTGATGATCGGTCTAACCTTAAATGATGACGGATTGGTTGACGCGTGATCAACAGGTGATACCAACTTATGTGTTTTAATAAGTAGGTATAGGACGGGACATGTTGGTCTATCGTTTTTAAAGTGCGAAATAACCGATGATTTTAAGCCTGCAGGCTTTCCCACACTGGCCTATTGATTGTTTAGCTTTCGGTATTGGGTTTTATATTCCTTTTCAGAGAATGGGCGATAGAGGGGTGGCATCACTAAGATGTTCCTCTGTTATCTCAACATTCAGCTGGCGAGGAATAACTACGAACTCTCCCCTCGTATCACTAACAGACAATCTTATTGTTTTCGAGTTTATTAATTCTCTAACTTTTCGCATGCCACATTTTTGTGGGGCTGTAAGGTTAGAGATAAACTTTCTATCGCGGTAGTGATTAAGACTATTGGAAACGCAGTCCGAAAACATGCGGAATAATTTTATGTCAACTCCATCGTTATGGTCCTGCTGTCTAAAAAACGCTTTTGGGAAAGGAGATGGTGGTAGTGTCGCCACCTCTTGACTCGTTTCCTTACGCTTCTGATAATAGTCAAAATGGGGTTGATAATGCATCAAGAAAATCTAGGGTCACCGTGATTGGGGGCATAGCAATACCTGAGAATGCGCGCTCGCTATTAGAATTGGGCCCAAGTTTTGCACCATCACAGCCCATTTCTAAAACGACCCTGCGTAGGATAGCATGCAACCTTTATGAGCTTCAAGATCGACTCCGCTATCAAGTCAAGCAAGAAACATCAAATAGAGATGAAAATCAATGATAGATAGTCATAGATAGAAAATCATAGATATATATAAATAATAGGTAAATAAAATGGTTGAAAAAGCGGCGTAATTACTAATTGACGACGTAGAGTAGCCGGTGGTATTTGAACTATCACTACCCATTCCTCTAGACCTGTCCTTCTTAAGCATCGTTTTATAGCTACGTTTACTTCATCGCTTATAAAAGGCAACATAAACGGGACTTTCTTTTGGCCTAGTGTTTCGCGTGGGCGCGTCGCTCTCCTCACCTATCTCGTGGAGTTACTATTTCGTAGTTACTATTTTTTTGATGTGGGATGGTGCAGTCGTCAACCATATGCGACTATAATCAGCTGTTGTAAGCTTTCTCATAGGAAGTCACGTAAAAAGCGGTGAATTTTTCGAGAAGCTGTTGATCATGTAATTACCATAGAGTTTTTCGTCTTTTTGTAAGTGTTATTGAAGGGTTGGGCTAGTAGATTGTATATCAGTATACCCTTCCAGGCTCTGAAGAAGGCGATACTGCCGAAACGTCAGCTACTGTTGTATTGTATTGTGTTTTTCTAAGGAAGTAAATGTATGCGGTTTAAAAACCTCGCGATTGCTGAACAAGAAAACGACGCATTCATATGCCAATGCCGAGGTTAATAGAAAGTCGATCCTGGGAGCTACTACTTGTTTCATCTTACAGGAAAGAGTGTTGCTTCAATCCTTGTCCAAGAAAAATTTCGAAACCTGAAGAGGTCGACAAACGGCCGTCCATCGTTCAAAAGTGATTACCAGCATCGTGTAGACGCTACTCGTCTGCATTATCAGATTCAACGGATAGATCAGCTTCAGCACATAGGCGAGAAACGTGACGGCCGACTGCTGCGACGTCCTGAATGCGTCAATTTCATGTAATTGTCGATTAAACAACAAATAAATTCACCATATAGACGTTTCTATTACCCTTAAAAGGATAGAACGTAAATGCTTTCGGGGTTCATCAATCCCTGAGTTATGCGTCTCAGAGCACAGCAAAAGAGATTGGATGCATTTTTGGCTTAGACAATGAACTGAGATGACGTGCCGATATATCACAGCTGTTCTTTACCCCCTCAAATAAATTTCTTAGTACAACCACGAGTATGTTGGGATATGAGCAAAACTCGGAGCCCCATGCCGATTTCAACCCCACGATTACTGTGCAAGGGAGTTACGTACTACCCACCACACCAGGAGAGGGCCTTGCGTTGCCTTTCTCTCAGCAATGTTCTTACTCTACCGATGCCATCAGCAATCACCCGTCGACAACAATGATCTAGAGAGCATGAATCGGGATTGAACCCGGCTAACTTGAAGCACGTGGCACGTACGCCCCAGGTAAGGATAATGGCTGGTTTGAAGTCTAAAATAGTTCCTGGGTTTTGCTCATATCTACACACCATTGCTGTTCAATTTAATATCGCATAAAAGTTAAAACCCGTTAGTACTTTGTGGCCCAGTGGCAGAAGAGATGCAGTACTGATCCAATGACTACACATGTACTCACGGCGCCTCCAACGATTGCGCTACACATGCTTCATTATTCAGAATAATTCGGGACATTACAAACTTTGTCGTAACTTAGGCTATCAGTTTCCTTTTTTGATTACGTTTCTCCTTGCCTAGAAACAGTTCGTATTTTCAATTTTCCTTTAGTTTCGACATTATTCCACTTTCAGAATTCTTTTTCTCTGATGTGGGTGTTTCGTAAAGTGGGTGAAAAAATAGGCGAGAGATCTAGACAACCTGATCTTGTTTTTTCTTTTATTTACATTGCATAGGTGTACCTCGTAAACCACATAACTGCAGAGACCTCATATAACTGTTTGAAGATACATGTTAAAATTTTATTATGTGAAAGAAATAAGAACAAACACAAGGATACTGTGGTAGAAACAATCACAATTCCCAATGCATTCTCTGAAAGTCTACTGTCTGGCTCTCTTCGTTTTTTTTCTTTTGAAGAAAGGCATATGGGTCCCATGGGAAGTCACTTTTTATGAAAATAAGCTGGACAGAGTGTTGTGACGTATGGTATTCGATAAGAAAGAAGACAGAAAAGATTGGCAAGGATATGTACGACATTTCCTAGTATTCTGTACCATTTCATACACTTTCCTTTCAGTATTTGTAAGCCTTTTCAAAGCCACTAATTCATACTCCTGTATCGGAGTCGGTTGGAAAAGTATCTTTGAGCGCTAACGCCTGGAATGCTACAAAAACACACTGAAAAAGATCCACGGTCTTACAATGACCTCTGCCCTCACCATACGGAAAACAAGTATCGCCACCTGCTTGTGAAATCATTAAGGTTTTCTGGCTTGATTCTTCCCACATACTGCCCTGCTGAATTCCATAAACTCAATCTCAACTGTGGGTACACATCGTCCTATATGACTAATACACTGAAGCTCCTCTTTCTTTCAACCACTGCATATTCTTCACATTCATTGTGTTAGTATCGCCTTACTATTTACATAAAGGCTTAATTTGGCAGATTTGAAGTAGAACTACTCTAACTGGAAGCATATATAGGTTCTCATATGTCCCAAGTCGTATAAGTAGGCAACAACAGATGACTACAACAATAATTGCCTCGCTAGTCATTCGTTTCGCTACAATCTGTTTGGTTACTTAATCAGTTCATTACATAACCATCAATCTTCCACTTAACGATGTGTTCTCATACCTTTTTTAAAACTTGTTTTCTCTTTGTATGTTTGGGTCAACAGTGGTCTGAAGTCTTTTCGTCTACTCTACCGTTGGGATCAAATGAGTGAAATGAGCTCCAACAAACGCGCTATCCTCCCTATCGTGGGCAAAAATGCTGAAGTGCGTTTTACTCGCATTAGAGACTTACCGAGAACTCTTATGAGGTTTCTGACGGGTAGATTATGGACTGAAGAATCCTCATTCACCAAGCTCATTTTCCGACTACTACACCTAGTTGGAATAGTTAGAAATATTTGTTCCCATAAGTGAGAATGATGCAGTTCAAACGAACTTTTCTCAAGAAGCATCAATTCTTTTTGAACGGAAACAAATGCCGATTTTTCCACACAAAAGATCGATAGCATTATTCCCTTTCTTTTCTTATTGTTAAAAGAACAATGCTTTCAGTGTTAATTAGGTCGCAGAAATTTGTGAGTTTTAAAAATCTTCGGATATATTCTTTCTTTGATAAGCTTACAAGAGGTTGATAAGCACTTTTATTCGGCTAACGTTCCGACAACTTCATCTTCATCAGAGCCGACGATCTGAGTCGATAGTCCACGGATGCTTTTCGTCTCGATGTAGCGTCTTCGCTTTCATATCTAGTGGTGTCTTCCTCAGCGGACCATCTCTCGATGGCATACGCACTCGGTGATGCCATTTTATGCAGGATGCTGATGGTTGATAGCTATGATTGTTCGGTAATAGTAACTTCTTTTTCTCGGACAACGAATCCTGCAGAAGTCGGTATCATTACCTGCTAGCAAAGAGCAACATCATCAGATGGTTTGATCCTAACTGCGTGCTGATTGGTTATTGACTAGATAGCATGTCGGATTTTAGAAGAAAGAAACGTTTTGGTGCCGCATTTGGACATGGGTGCTGAAAAGACTCAACAGCTGTTGTAAATCTTGTCTTTCAGCCTTTTGCATGTAGTGCTGTGACTAGTACCGTCTCTTGGTGATTTTCATGGTCACTTTCACTCTTTCGTTTTCGGCATTATCGCGATGTTGAGTTAAGCACTCGTATTTGTCATTGATGTTCCTGATAATCATAACTTCTTAGAAGCTGCTAAAGATCTGTGCGCAAATCTTAATTTATGGTGGCTTTGGGATTTCTTTGTTTGAACTTTGCGGCTTTCTCTCATTTCTTGAAATTTATGGGTTTTTTGCTTCTGCGAAGAAATTTTAGTGAGACGGAAGTCGATCTGTTCTCTTGTAAAACATCGAGACAACATTGGTTGGACAAAATATTTTATTTAGCGTGATAAAGCCTTTTACCCTAAGGCACTTTCCATGAGAGATTCCTAAGTTGAACAAAGAGACTGTGGTTCTAGATTGAAGAGCTACGACTAATGGTCTTGGTTCTTATGACAATGTACGGTAGATTTGCATCCGTTCGTTCCATTTGAGTCCATACACATCATATTCAGCAAGTCTTAATACCTTAGAGCGAAATCTAGTAGAGTAAATAAGATACGTTTTTGGAACATTCAGTTATTTAAGAAAATTCGGACCGTTAGAGGTCTGGCGCATTATTTCCATATACTCTTCTTTGTAGATAGCAGAATTGTCAACAATATATGATAACTGGCCCAAATAAATGACGACTTTGTTCAACCCTTTGGCTTGCTGAAAAATGCCGTCAATGAAGGTCGCCGAAAGGAGTATGGTGCTCCACTGTTCGAGAACTTAGTTCACGAAAAGCTATTGAGAGGTAATAGAGGATGAATCGCGGAGACAACGTCATGAAGGTCACCATGAAGGTCAAATCAAAGGGTGTAGCCGACTGTGGAGCCACTGAGCCAACGACAGGAAGCTGTTCACATGTGCCAGTTATATTTCAACGTTTGGTCTTACTTATAATAAGCTGCCCAAATATTGTCCACATTGGAGGTCACGCTCCTGTAGACGGAATATTTCATGGTTCACTGCTGAAGATCATCGGGCCCACAATAAATTCCATATTAAAATTAGCGATATTTCATGTGAGGTAAGTTGACTAACATACATCACAAAAGAAATGTCGAATCTCAGTCCTGTGATCAGAAGACGAACAATGTACAATATAAATGGTCATGCGGATTACCAGATCAGCCATGTGACATTAGATGCGATAGAACCCGTTGATTACATCAGCTATTTTGTTTTCTTTGGTTTTTTATGCAATCTCGATGTGCACCGGGTAGCGCAGATAAACAGAGGTGCTTGAATACACACGGAATTGGTCAGCGGTTCGATCCGGTCCCTAGGCTTACCAAGCTTCTTATCCCTTGGGCCTACAAGCTAGTACTAGACTTGCCTGGGAGGATGGCAACACTGGCTTGATGCATCGATTGGCAGTGGCGAGACGTTGTATAGGCCAGATATGCATTCAATCACCTCTAATGCGAGATGAAGTAAAATGCATGACGCATCGCTAAGGCTTTGGTAAACGTAGAACGCGTGATCTCCTACCTCACTCTTAGCATAATCAACAACCGAGAAAAAATTTGAAATTCTTTTGAAAAAAAAGCATACCACAATATATACCAACCATAAATCCAGATTCGGAATGACGAATGTGGGTATGGAGAGCAGTAGGAGTGAAAAGTCGATGAATGACAGAGCACAAAGCAACACGTTCACCTGAAAACAAAAACAAAGACATTTTTAGTAAGCGTGATTCAAAGTGATAGAACAGCGCGGAGATCAAGGTATGGTTCAGCCATTAACCCTCCGGTATATCTGGGAGAGATTGAATCGGTGAGTCTCAGTCGCCAAAAACGCAGGAGATTAACGGCATCAGACGAAAGTGCGATGAACCTCGTGGCGCCATGCTAGTGAGAACCTTTCGATCATTAAGAAAAACACTCTATTACAACATTATGATGGACAAACATCGCTCAGGAAAATTCCTTTCATACGGCACTTATGTCATCCGAGTAAGAAACTATTCTTTTCTCACATTTTCATTTGAAAGTGGTCTTCTACCGACAGCATTAAATTAGTTTCATCGAACCAATTTCGTGATCTTATCTTTATGCGTATGGCGCAGTGGTCGAAGGCGCACTGCAATACACACATGAGGTCGATCCAGCGCCCATGGCTCACCAAGCCTTTCATCCCCTAGCGTCGTAGATTGGTACTGTAATTATCTGGGAAGATAGCAGCGCTGGCTCAGTACATCGATAGGCCACCGCGAGTCATTGTAAAGGCCAGACATGCATTGAATCACCTACAAACGATGCTTAGTGAAGTCGAATGCATAGCAGATTCCTCAAAAATTGATTAACGCCAAGAGCTTTAGTCTTTTTTACCTTTGTTGCAAACTAAACATGAAATCTGTGTGTTGACGTGGCAAATAACAACAGTTCACGAAAGGCTAGAAGCGATTTATGAGCGAGGTAATTCCAGTTTTTCAATAATTTGGGCTGTGCTCCTTAATGCCTGTGCATTTGTTTTCTGATTTTCTGATTCCTTGTTTACACAGATGCTTAGATGGCTTCTTCTCATATTTCGTACGAACCACAGAACTTCCTATATCAGCTCCACAATTTCGCAATTCTCATAAATAAATGTGATAGAATTGTTGTGCGTTCTG